CCCCCTCTACGATGAACTTCTATAACTTCGGACGCCAGTTTCTTCGCTTCTTCTACAGAATCAACACTATCTAAATAATCGTCTACGTAGTGTTGTTCTTTGATGGCTCTGGCAGCATCTGGGAATGTCTCTTCGAATTCGCTCGCATTTTTCCTCATAACATACTGTGCAGTGGAAGGAGACGAGACAGCGCCAAAAATCATTGCAACCATTTCATACTCGTCAGGTTCACGACATCTTTCTCTACCCCTCCATAAAAATCGTTGCACGCCTCTGTCTTCCGGTCTGATTTGTACTTGGTGAAACATCTCCATTATATCACCAGTAAATGCAATGTTTCGTTGTCTGAATTTGAATATTACACCGAGTAACGAATTTAAAAAGTCTGGACCCTTGAGGAGAACATCATTGAGGCTTATTCCACTGGTTCGTGCTGCCGCATCGAAAACAAATCGTATTTTTCCGGGTTTGTTCGAATTAGTTACCGCGAAGTGAGGTAAGTACCATATATTATCATTTTTCTGTACTAGTTCTTCTGTAGATAACTTTTTCGCATATCCCTTTTCCAAATAATCTGATATTTTCTTTCCATATTCGTTAGCGAAATGTCCGTCTTTGTCCATTTTTCTTTCAATGGACTTGAGTCGAGTGAATGCTGAGAACTTGTTGTTTGGCAAATCAATATCGTCGCTCTTCCATAATAAACCCGTTTCCCATCTGTTCAAACTGATTCGTTTGGTAGTTCTTCCAAGGATTTCACAAGCTCGTACATCTTTTGGACTCTGATGGATGTCATAAAGTTTTACAACCAAACTGTCTATTTCAAACGAGTTTCTCACCAGTTCGTTCAAATCTTCATTTTGATGGTTTATGAAGAAAGAAAATTCATCTAAACGTCCTATGTGTGGTTTTCCAATATTCCCATGGATAACCCATCCTAATTTAGATTTAGATAATATAGGTGCATTTTTGCCACCTTCATGTACCTCCCTGGCAATTATTAGTTCAATATTGTCCTGACCCACTAGAATCCTAGGTTTGGCGTCGACTAAAGATGGAACTTGTATTTGCTGTAAGTGAGACCATTTTTTGCTGAAATCTTTCATATTTATAGATTGAACAGGCAAAGATAAATCTTCAACTGTCCGTACATTATTCAGAGTATATTTATTCCGCTCATTTTGTCCTCTGATTGATAATGAAACTTTCTTTGAATGCTGTTCTTCACAGGTCATTGAATTAGTCCACCGTATTTTCAAGCTTTCTGTTGGTCCTGTTGCACCTATTGTATCAGCAACTGAAGAATCTATCATGGTGATCGTAGACGCTTCATCAAAAAGGGCATATGTATTGAATGAACCTTTTGGACCAGTCAGTTCCACAGGAGCGATCCTCAATAAAATTTCATTGCCTTCAAAACCACTGACTTGGCAGTTGGTTTGTTCTTCTGTTCTCTTCTCCAAATCTTTATGCAAAAATGGATGGTGCTTGAAGGTGCATTGGTTAATTTCGCATTTTTTCTTGCTTCTGCAGAATCTTGCTTGATGAGATGATCCCAAACAGGTAAAACATACCTTATTTTGTCTCACCCAGTCCCATCGTTTATCAACTTCAAGTTTGTTGAACTCATGACATTTTTCAACTTTGTGGCCATCCTTCTTGCAAAATTTGCACTTGAAAACAGAACTTTCTGTGCGTTTCTCATTCTGAACGGATGCAGTGCACACATATTTTTTTCTTTTGTCTTGATCTACATCTTTATCAGCAACATACATTACAGCTTCACTAGTTTCTTCCAACCATGATGAAAATTCTAGGATTGTTATAAGCTTGTTTTGTCTTTTTAGTTCGATGATTTTTCTGCCCCATTCCATTTTTAAATTCGAATTCATCTTCTTCACCAAATCATTCAATAGTTGTGGGTTTGATAAATATTCTTGACATTTTAAACTTTTCACCGTTATCGCCAAATTGTTTATTTTATTAGAAAAATCTAAAATGTTCTCTAGCCTATCTTCTTTCATGCCTGGAATCTTATTAACTGATTCTATCAGGTCTTGTATTATTATTTCCGGCCTACCATATCTGAGTTCTAGTGTTTTTATAATTTTATTGACTTCTTGTGTAAAACTCAGCAAGGCATTCACAGATTCTCTAGCTCTACCTTTGAGACATTTCTGTAACCTCATAATATTTTCTGAATCAGAGTAATCACAAACTCTAGTCGTTTCATTGAATTGTATAATGAAGTTCATCCACTCCCCAGGTTCTCCAGAAAATGTTGGAAGTTCTTTGCTGAATGACTGTCTAGCCAAAAATTTGTTCATATTCATCGTTTCCGTCACATTTCCATTTGGATGATCAGAATTCTTATTCACTGTACAGAGATTATCTTCAGGCTTAGATATTTCCAAAGAATTCACCCAGTCTTGAACATACGATGCTTTGGAAGTCACAGTTCGGGAATCTTCTTCATCAATCACACGGTAGCTTGAATGTGAACTTTCTAATTCTGCCTTTTTCAATTCAGTTTCTTTTTCTATAAGCCTCCTTTCAATTTCAGCTAATCTTATTTCTCTTTCTAGTTCTATTTCTAATTGCTTGCGCTTGATAGAACTACTTTTTGTCATAATAGAGGATGATTTACCAGACTTTTGCTTATGTTGACTAGATACCTTGCTATTCTCAGTACCTTTGGATTTGAATGATGCATTGTCTTGAGTTATCTGATTTTCACTGACACCGATGTTATCAGATACCTCATTATTATCCATCACACCATCTTGCAAGTTTTCATTTTCTGCTGGTCGGTTCTCCATGGCATCAACCAGAAATCTTACTGGTATTTTTCCCTTTGTTAGTCTGGTACTCCTTCTTGGCGGTGAAGATTTGGACATTATCCACTAGCTGATTTCTTCTCTCGAAGGACCACTATGTATCGGACTCCGGTTATATTTTGGTTTATACAAATCTCGCCTTTGAATATAGTATTTTACAAATTTTCGTCAGTGACAAGACACCAATTTTCTGACTGACTTATATATTGACATTACTTGTCTCACTCATACAGGATGAAAAATATAATTAAACAACTAAAATAAATCAATGAAAATAAGAGAAAATATTCCACAGGAACACTCCCTCCCAGTGATGAACACTGGTTCATTACTCTTCAGCCTCTTCTTGTGGTTTTTCAACATCGAGAATGCACATCTTTGTTACGGGTCTTCTGTATTCACCAAATGCTGTCTTTACATCAGCTACTCGTATATGGCCATCAGAACCAGGATGAACAGCTATGACGATACCTTTTGGCCAGGAATTTCTAGCGAAATCTCCATCAACTAGAATAACTATATCGCCGACTCTAATTTCCCGTTTAGATGGTAGAAACCATTTTGTCCGTTTAGTCAAGACAGGCAAATAAAGGACCACTATGTATCGGACTCCGGTTATATTTTGGTTTATACAAATCTCGCCTTTGAATATAGTATTTTACAAATTTTCGTCAGTGACAAGACACCAATTTTCTGACTGACTTATATATTGACATTACTTGTCTCACTCATACAGGATGAAAAATATAATTAAACAACTAAAATAAATCAATGAAAATAAGAGAAAATATTCCACAGGAACAGATGGTAAATTCTCGAAAGATACAGTTTCAAACAGGAAGCACGGAAATCCTTGATCGGAGAAAATACAACAAACGGTATGAAACATACAGGGTATGTCACGACAAGCTCAAAGTATCTCTATATCGAGAATCAGTCGGGGAAGTCCATGAAAATATGTATGTGATCAGAATTCTGAATATCGAACCACCCTGTATCTGTTCAGATTAAATATCAGTAAATAGTGAAACAAAAGTTGAGATAAAGGGACCGACATATGTGAGCCGTTTTGACCGATAATGAATATTTTCGACACAAAAAAATCCTATAAAGCAGAAATATCGATTTTGAACACCCTATATCTCTGTAATCATTTTCGATAGACTCTGAGTATGATATATCGAGGAAATAAGCTCTTCAGGGAGAATCTCAAAATGCGATAAAATAAAGGGTGTTTTGTTCGACACATCAATGTTGCTACTACTTTCTAGTAGAAGCGGCAACACTGCATTGTCGAACATATCTTAAATGAAAAGAGCGTATACCAAAATATAAGTATGCACATTTTCATGGATTTCTCCCGACTGATTCTCGATTTAAAGATAGTGTAAGCTCGTCGTGACATACCCTGTATAGGGTAATGAAGTTGAATTAATATAGAGAAATATTAGGAAAAATTGAGAGAATTTCTCTGCACTTACCAGCGTGAAAAAAGTGAGGCTTTGATGAAACAACACGAAACACTAGAACAACACACGGTCCCGATATTATTATTATTCAATACAATCACTCAGTTTTTAGAGAACACTCAGTTTGGAACGATAAATAATTCTTTTCGCGTATTTTTCGATGTCGTTCACAAAATTCGACTGTACGTAATGACATCTAATATAAAACTGTTTTGATTTACCACCTGGTCCCGAATGAATGACTAATAAGTTGAATCATGCTGTTAGGCGATTAATTTCCGAACAAATGATTTATCTATGACTAATGATGATAATGGAATTACACAGGGGGAAATCTACTTATAGGTCGTGCAAAACAGTGTTTTTTTATATGTTCTGAATAATTCACATTATTTATTGTGACTTGCCCCTCCCTGAGATTATTTCTGCGGACGCCCCTGTGAATAACCAATAAACAACAGTTCGCATTTTTTCAACTGACGGATATTTGATTACGGAACACACTCTCGATACTTGTTGTACGGTCTGTGGCCGTTTGCTGAGTCAATAAATATCTAGAATGTCTGACGTAACCTGTCAGACAGTCTAGATATTTAGACAAGTTACGTCAGACAGTCTAGATATTTAGCCGTCATTGGCTGAGTTCAATCTGGAACACGAAATCGTGTCATCTGTCATTTGCCTTTGTAAATTGTCGTTGTCTGATGTCATATGTTCCATGCTAGTACAGATCAATCATCAAAATACAAGCCGACCAAGCACCAAGCCGTTAATGGAGTAAAAACTACAGAAAAATCGAAAACACAATTTGCCATTCTGCATCCGCAGTGAGTTTCCTCCAGTTTTCCCGAATTCCATGCCAGCAAGCTCGTAATCGCCGAGAATGTCTTCCCGTCTATTCGTGGGCGGACTCACGCAGCGCATCCGCGAGCGCGACATCGAGAAGTTTTTCCGAAAGTTCGGCAAAATTAAGGAAATTTCCCTAAAGAACGGGTACGCGTTCGTGGAATTCGGCAGCAGCCGGGACGCCGAAGACGCCACCTACGAGCTGAACGGCAGAGAGCTGCTCGGCGAGCGCATAACGGTGGAAAGAGCACGAGGGACTCCGCGGGGCAGCGACCACTGGCGCGACAGGGAAAGAAGCGGTGGCCGCCGCAGCTACGGGGGCCCCCCACCTCGCAGCAGCAGGGCCCCGCGCGGCAGAGAGAGGTCCGGCACCTTCACCAGAACCGAGTACAGGGTGATAGTCGAGAACTTGTCTTCGCGCACATCCTGGCAGGACTTGAAAGAGTTTATGCAGAAGGGTGGTGAGGTGGCGTTTGCCGACGCTCACAAGCTGGTGCCCGGTCAAGGCGTCGTGGAGTTCATGTCCTACAGTGACATGAAGAATGCAATTGATAAGCTGGATGATACTGAGCTGAATGGGCGTAGGATTAAGATGGCGGAAGACAGACGTGGGCCTAGGAGGAGGTCTTCAAGTCGCAGCAGGTCAAGGTCCAGGCAGAATGGGAAGTCAATGTCCAGATCAAGGTCTAGATCACATTCCAAGGAGGACAGCAGAAGGAGGTCTCGGTCCAGATCAGAAGAGCGAGAGTAATTTTTCATATTTCTTCTCAGATTTGTTTTTGTATGAATAGAGAGTTAGGTTAATCATTGTGTTCATACAATCTTGTGTTTGCAACATGTAAAAGTTTCTATTGCTGAATATCATAACTTTCCAGATTTTGATTATTTAAATCTTGGAGATCCCTACACAAGTTGTGAAACATATCAAAAACTATCTAGAAATGCCTATTACAATGAATATTATTCATTTTAGCTACACTAGTAGTTTAGGCATTTCTTGATATTTTTGTGGATATATTCCAGTTTTTTTGTGCTTATTTGACCTCTGCCAAATTTTCAGTTTTATTCATTGAAATTTCCTATAATTTTGTAGCATTTTTAGCATAATACACATATAGGATTATTGTCTATGAATGTTTATTATTATGATTTCAGTGCTCCAGATAAGTTATCAAAAATGGAAAAATAATATCCTTACAGCAGTATGAGTTTGAATATTGTAGTTTTATATTTTGTGACTATAAATACATAGGTGACTTGTTTAGATGGAAACCAGTCTTTGTTGTGGATTTAATTGGTTTATTTACAACACTTTCCAAAATTATAATTTATGTGCTCCAAAATGACTACTATCAGTGTTTATCAGAATGTATTTTGCCATCAAATATTTTCTAGAATTATCAGGCAGCTTTGAAATGGATTTAAAAAATCTCAATTAAATTCAGTAGTATCAAAATTATAGGAGTGTTTCACCCAGTATGTTGATAACAAGCCACAGACAATAACCCTAGTTGACAAGTAGATTCACTTTGTATTAATGAAAACAAAACACACTTTTTCATATACTTTGGCCTCAGTTTTTTCAATTATTAGTTTCAGAAACAGCATTGAGTTATTTTGTCATAATGATCTTCTCAAGTGAAACTACTTGTTATACAGTGTGCTTCAGGATAACTGACAAATACCAGCAGAGGACCAAAAATGTTAGTGTCAAATTATCAAATAAGATTACTTAAATATGGTTTGCTTGATTTAAAACTGATTCTCATATGTATTTGGTCCAAATACAAACACGATTTTTATACTTTTTAAGTTCATCCTTGTTTAGCAAAATCAATTGAAAATTCTATTCTCAACTCCAGAGGTTTTAGTTTGAAGTTCCTGATACAATAATTCTTGGAGCATTCTTATCATAATTTTTCTATGGGTTAGGTAGAAAAATATATATTTAAAAGATGAAAATTAATTGTCAAGTTATCCTTGGACACTCTGTATGTATGTTGTCAAATGAAAATTTCAAATGGCGTACACTTCCACTCTGGGCTAATTTTATTGTTTTCAAATTAGAAAATGGCCAACGTTCCTGCAGTCAGTTCAAAGGAAAGCCATTAGTCTATGCCCCATCACTCAGAACCCAATCAATCAGAATCCCATCAATCAGCAGACCTTTCACTCTTTTACCGTTACTACTTTGACCACACAGCTCAGCAGAATTTCAAGCGCTCACCCCCTAAGCAGTTGAACTAGAAAGCCACAGATCAGCGTTTCATGGGAAATCCTTCTTCTGTAGGGCGTCAGCAGAACAGTTGCAATTTGACGTTTTACAAAAGAAGGGTCCACCGCCAATATTAGTCCCTCAGCGGCCGTCCTTTTGCTGCCCTTAGTAAAAAAATAGGCAGTGTTTGATCCACAGCAATCCAGTAGCCTCTTGCCTTGGATTCGATTCAGCAGAAATCTTAGATAGGTAGGTGACAAACAATTGTTCGGAAGCAGCAGAGAAGCATTTTTTATGGAGGTGAGTATATGCCCTGGATGAGTGGGGCAGTTGAATATTATGGGGTTGCATTTTCATGAACCAACAGATATTTTTGATTTTTTTTTTTCAGAACTCTCAAACACATTACATGGCCTCAAAGTTTGTTAGTTTACTACACTTCATGTTCCATTTGTTGATAATGATGATTGCCCTTGTTCAAATCTTGAATTCCCTGAAAATATTCAATTTTGGTAAAGGCTCCGAACAACGAAGGTTTATGATCGAAGGGTAAAGGCATTTTTCAATAAAAAAAAAAGTTTTCATTTCTAAAATTCTGTATTATGAGAACTGCATTTTCACCCAAAGAATCATCCATTGAAGTTTTTTGTGATGGTGAGTATACAAGATGGAACTTGCACTCTGGGTGAGTGGGGCAGGTGAATATGAGGTTGCATTTTCCATGGCCAACTGAAATTTTGGAAAAATTATGATTTGGTTTTCATAACAATCAAAAATACTACATGACCTCAGAGTTTGTTATTTTACTAGACAGTTTCAGTCTGCTTCATGTTCATCAATGATGATGGTCCTTATTCAAATCTTGAATCCTGTATTTTGAAATCTTTACATTTTTGATTCTATGTTTGTAAAAGAGCCCTCCTCCTTTGGACTCAGGCTCTTTCTCCAAAGTATGAAAATGAACTCTTACAATTTTTAGATAACATGGTTTCTTGCAAAATTATTGGTAATTTTCATGCACTTATGCAATTATAACTGAAAATTAAATTTGACACTCCTAGAACAAAAATCAAGATGATCTACAAGTTGGTCAATTTTCATCCTGTCAAATATCAAAAATCTGGGTGCAGGATTTTTGTGATAGGTAATAATTTAATTACAAAAAACTGTTTTTTTTTTTGACAAAACCTGATATCCTGTATCTTGGAAACCACGCATTTTCAGACCTATGCTGATGGTGATTGAACTTTTCATCTTGGACACTCAAAGAATCATCTCTTGAAGTTTGACCAAATACCTAGTTTTCACCTTGTATAGTTCTAGCGTATATCTACTCATATATTATCAGAGATCAGAAGTATAGCTCTCCTCAAAGCAGGACCAACTTGGTAAAGAAATCGACCAATAGACGTTGATGCCGACGTAAGGAAAAAATAATACAAAACTTGTCAAACCAATATGGCTTTTTCCATCCTTATATATTCAAAAAGTATCTCCCATTTTGGTTCCATTTCTGATATATATGATATAGATATATGAGTTCTAGTGTCTATACAATTTGTCAACTCCTAGAATAAAAATTAAAGATGGCGGACGAGTTCGTTTATTGACATTTTGGTTTATTGACATATCGGTTTATTGCCTTTTGAGTTTGAGAAATCTGATTTGGCTCAAAACTTAACCTGAATTTCAACTAGAAACTGGCAGATTAGCTTTTCATGGGGGTATTCCTTCTTCTGTGTTGGGCGTCAGCAGTACAGTTGCAATTGAAGGGCCCAGTGCAAACACCGATCAGTTCCATTATTCATAATTCGAAGAAAATCAATAAAAACTTTGCAAAAACGAAATTTTAGATTCTTTTTTTCAACAAAACTATTGATCATTTAGTCATCAAGTAGAGGAATACTGTGATCATTTCACAACTCACAACAACAAGAAGATACATTTCATCAGAAACACTACAAAACATTCTTTAATCCTATTTTGTTGAAAATCAGTTACTTTTCTGTTCCCTAAAAGTACATAATGTTTTGATGTCATAGGTTAATTTCATTATCTCTTCTTGGGATTCATATAGCTTGAAAATCCAGGGATAGCAGTATTGGGGCAAGTTGAAGTTGATAGTGCGCTAAGTACAAGACAATTGGCCATTGCGACGGGTGTGTCTCGTACAAGTGTCCAACGGGTATTGAAAAAATACAAATTCAATCCTTACAAAATTCGCTTAGTGCATGAACTGAATGAAGACGACTTTGATCGTCGCTTGCAATTTTGCGAAATTATGGGTGAGCGAGCGTTACACAATGGTAATTTTCTATTCAATGTGTTTTTCGGACGAATGTTCCTTCTTCCTCAATGGTTCAGTGAATCGCCACAATTGCCGGTACTGGGCTGACACCAATCCAAGGGATTTTCCACGAGACACACACGCAACACCCCCAGAAGTTGAATGTGTGGGCTGGAATTTTGGAAATTCCATTGTAGGACCTTTTCTCCTTCCTGGAAATTTAACAGGCAATATGTACTTGGATTTACTACAAAATGCCATAGGCCCAGCTCTAACAAATATCATTGAGAACGATTCCGCATACCATGAACAGAAACTGATTTTTCAACAAGACGGAGCTCCTCCTCATTATTCCCAAAATATGCGCATTTATTTACATGACACATTTCCAGGACGATGATTAGGACGACGGAGCCCAATAGAATGGCCACCTCGGACACCCGACCTAAGTCCTTTAGATTTTCTTGTGGAAACACATCAAAAGCCTTGTTTACAAAACACCACCAGACACATTAGAACAGTTGCGACAAAGAATCATTAACGTATGTCGACACCCCAAATGCTCCAGAATGTACGACAACGGTTTGAAAATACTTATACCACTGTATGCAGGTTGACGGACAGCAATTCGAACATTTACATGACTAATAAATGAGTTCTGAAGTACAATTGAACCGATTTTTGTATTTTTCGTCCCACATGATGGTTGTGGTTTCAACGCTCCATTTTTTCTGAAAGAGTAGATCGATTTGGAAAATCTAAGCAGCACTGTACAGGGAATGACAAGCCCCTTCTAAAGAGGTATCGCTTGACCACCGTTCCCATTTGAAAAAAATGTAGGGGTGACACCCCTACCCAGAGGGTTTAAGGTTTTAATATGCTTTTTCTACATTCATGCAAAAAGCAGAACTTTATTGAACTAGGGCGTGTTTTTCATTCCATCGAAGAAAGTGCGCACTGATAGATGCGGTTTTTTGTTGTGACGTCACCAATTGTTGTGTTGGAATTTATGCTGGAAGGGTTGAACAATGGTTTATACAACACATTGATGGAAACACGGATTTTGTTGTGTGTCAGTCACCATGTATCTTGAGAATCAGAAAAGGCTAATTCGACTTTATTGATTAACACTGACTCTTTCTTCTAAAATCTCCCAAGAATCTCAAAAATCCTCAATATTAATTGTTTTCTATCAAATCAAAACAAAAAACAACACTAAAATGTGTCAACTGTCATGTCAATCTCCTCCAAACTGCTGGATTCTCCAAATGCGATTTAAAAGTGCGCATTTTATTACAACAGTTTGATGGATGTCCATCAACATTCCAGCGGAATTTTGCAACAGTTTGATGGTTTCTTCGATTCATGCGCATGATGAAATGTTGGAATGAAAAGCCTCGTCGGACAATTTCACGTCGAGTGCAATAAACATTCACTTTTTGCACTTGTTGCATAAATAACTATTTTACGTCAAATTGTGTCCCCCTGACAAACAAACTTGACCTGTTTTCGGATTGTATCGAAAAGTTCTTTCCCAGCCTGTAATGCCTTGCGGTACGTTTTCGATGGACCACCCTGAACGCAGTTGATGGATTGATGAAGCCACCGGCGAATAAAAGAACGTCCCTTATTTCACAAAATTCGCTCTCCCATAAAATGTCAGATCTGTACGACTGTAAAGAATACTATCAGCAATAAACATAGGGACGAATCAAGCGATATACAAAGTACGACCATTTCAGCGGCTCTCTACTACACTCGACGACTTTGTTGAAAATCAAACATTCATTTCCATTTCCATTATTGACAATATACTGTCTGCTTCAACTAAACATTTAAAAGAATTTCATGAAATTACTGTGTTTTTGAAGTATTTCGACAGCGAAAGAGATTTTGGAAAAATCCTCAATAATGGTCAGTGCTCACACATATGATTTGGAAACCATCAGCCTAGGCGACGAATTAGTGTAGATCGTTGAATGTGGGTACCGTTATTCAAAGCACCAAGAGCCTCTGGAACTACAATTTTATAATCTTTCATTGAAAAATTCTTTAGAATCATGTTTCCCAAACATAGAAATTGCCTTGCGAATTTACGTGTATCGTGGTATCCCATCATGATCGCTAACTAGTGGCGAGCGTTTTTTTATTAGTATTAAAACGTATTTAAAATGAGTTAAGGAACACGATGGGCGAAGAACGTCTCAATCATCTCACTTTGGTAAATATAGAGCATGATTTGCTTGAATAAGTCGATATTGAAAGTGTTATCTCTACATTTGCCCATATAGGAATATCCAGAGAAGTTTATTTGTAATAGTTTCGTTTTATTTTATTCAATACCTACTCTAAACTTGATAACCTAAAGCAAACCAAGGGCCCCTTGATAGAATTCACTACAGGCCTTGCGCTGGCTTAATCCGGCACTGAGAGGCAGGTAAAGTATATAGATGGTGAATTTTATTTGGAGGTGAAGTAGGTACTTTCTGTGACCCGCGTAATTTACAAACATGCCACAAAAAGTGTCACTCCACACCCATATAAAACGAAACGATATCAAATGTAGGTATGGGCCAAAGGAAAGAATAAGCACAAAACGCACAAGGATTTTTATTAACATCTCTTAACCTGATAATATTTACAAATTGTATTACATGTAACAAATTAGGACAATATCTAAGTATGAATTACATTGACTTTTAAGAATGGTTCCCAATACATTACAAATCTGATATGAAATTAGACTAAAAATGTACAGAACACAATTTTCATAAATTAGAAAGAGGCTATACAGGGTGTCCAGAAATTACATAGAAGGATCTCAACCACAGATTCTAGGAACGAAAATAGTAAAAAAAATCATATAATCATGGGTGC